GGCTGAATTCTACCCATAACTCATATTCTAATCCATATGCTGATATATGTCAAGTTGATATTGCATGAGAAATTTTAGAGCTAGAGCAGTTTCCCCGCTCTTCTCCCTTCGCTCCAGATGTTCTGCCTGAATTATAATACTGGTGATTACATGCAACCCACAGAAGTACAAAAGATTTAAATCTCTTTTTGGATGACAAATATAAAATTCAAGCAGACTAAATCCTTGAATGAGATCTCAGTATCCCTACCAAAATGTGAAGGGACTCTTTCAAAACCTTTATTTTGGGGATATCACACAGTAATGCTGTCACAATAGCAGGGGTGATTTTTAATGGATCTACCTGTCACTTAGGAGCTCCGTGTCAAACAATATGTCATAAAATAGCGGCATAAAAATAAGAAACTAATCACTTTTAATGTAGAAACGCTCTCATATGCTACTGATTTTATAATTATTTTGATAAATTTTTAAAGCAACTGAGCAGATAATGCGAATTTCCTAATTTTTTCTCCTAAGGAGAGATTCTTCCTTTCTCCATTGTGAAGTCACAGGCTCATAAATGAAAATGCAGCTGGAAGCAGCTAATGTTATACACTTCTCTCAGAAAAATGATAAGAGAATTAGAAAACAGGAAAAGAATTCAGAGAAGGGGAAAATGTACTCATGTAAACACAGGTAAAAACAGAGGAAATTGAGTTCATTACATATGTGATCAAAATTCTTCAGCAACTTTAAGAAGAGTCTCTCATAGAAGGGAAACTGTCTAAATGGAAGAAGGCTTTCTAAAGGAGAGGCCCTCACTACAGCGGATTTTGCTAGGGCTAAACTTTACAGCTTTAAATGAACTGGATACAAAAAACAACAAATGAAATCATCAGACACAAAAATAGCCTGATAACAAGCTAATAGAGTTCTACAGATCAGATCAGAGATGTAACTCATGTTTTTATCAATGGTTTCCAAAGAACCAAATAATTTCACAGACTATATGCAAAGGAAATGAAATTAGAAGCCTTTTTAACTTAGTCTTGTTATATGAGACAACACTCAAAAGTCTCTTGGAATACTAGTATTAACTGGCTAGTTGTTTTTTAATATTTTAGCCAGTGATTCTGTGATTCAGAGATGTAAGACAGAACAGTCAGAACAACATTAGACAGGTTCTTCTTTTTTTTTTTTTGGTTTTGCCTTTGTTTTTTGTGTTTGGAGTAGTTCTGGAAATGGAATATCTTCCATTTCTACTCAGATGTGTGTTTTTCAAACAGCTTGGGTTTTATGTGCTAAGAACACAAATAGAGAAAATCTTGGCTTCTAGCCAGCCATAACTTCAGCTATATCACAATTTCCAGGCTTGTTCTTTTCTCCTATTGCTTGCTTCTAGGATTTTAACTGTAGATTTTACGTAACTGTTTTGGACTTGCTGTTTTTCATTCTGAATATTGAGTCCTATATACAATTTATGAGAATGGAAACAAACAATGACAAACTCAGAAATCGTTAAAATGCTCCAAAAAGAATAAAAGTATTGGTTTCAATTGAAAATACAAATATAGGCTAAGTGAGGCTTCAGTGGCCAGTTCAAAATGTAACTTCTCATCACAGACTTGATGATCTTAAAGGTCTTTTCCAACCTAAATGATTCTATGATTCTATGTGATTAATATGCAAAGGCATTTTTAAAGTGCTCCTAACTACTCTGCAGCTACCCACAGACATTCCAAGACCTTCCCCATTCTTCACATTCTCAACTGGAACATGTTTATGTATATCACAGTCCTGGACTTCGAGGCCGCTGCACAAGCTATTTTCTTAAACACCTCTGAGCGATTAATATGCTGAAATGAAATACAGGAACGCTTACGTCTAAGTTTGTCTTTGCAAATACTGCTCTAAAACTATTTTCACACTTGTATATTAGCTCTGTATAGATGACTGGCAGAATTTCCATGCTTGTTAAAAAACTTGACCTGTTACAGCAACAGTAATACTCAACTGTGCTCCCTATTAGCTGTTCTCTCAAAATCCAGTCAATGCTTCTGGTATACAGCAAGTGACACTCCCATATAAAATGCAGTAAAATTTACTCAATGTAAGATGTATAAACATGAAGAAATAGAAAAAACCCCATAAAACAGACACCGAAGGCTTGTTCATATTTTCTATAAACATGCTAACTAAACTGTCAAAATTGTACCCTCCATAAGATCTCTCTGGTAAGACTCTTGCATTTGTTCCAGTGCCATTGTACTCCATCAAATCAGTCATGTTAGTCCAAAAGATATATACTGATATATCCATATAGGCAACATTCTCTTAGTAGCTTTATTACATAATGAAATAATACTGTAGTTATTATCAAACTAATTGACATATTCAGATTTCACCTCTGACTGAAACAGAACTGCAGATGCATTTTGTTGTAAATATACGGATTGGGCACGTGAGGGTGCAAAGGATGGCAAAAGGCTTGATAAGACAGAATCCTGATACCAGGCGGGGAGGATCCTTGCGTAAGTCAACAATACTAAATTACTCTTTCAAAACTTACTGCAAAGTACAAAATCAGTCTGCAATTGGAGGCTCATTATTTCTATTCTATGAGCTAAAGTAACTACCTCTGCAGAAATGACTCCCCAAGCATGGAACTGAAAGTTTAAAGAGAACTCTTCTCGCCTTTGCCAAGGTAATACTATCTCAAGACAGAGAGAACATTTTAATAGGGAGGATTCAAAAGTATCAATCTCTCTCATAACTGAAAGCAAAGCTGCAGACACTTGTCTGCCTTTGACTAATATATATGTTTGCTGTCTGGTTTTCAGCAAGCATCCAACAAGTAAAAAAGGATCACAAAACACATCTGTAAAAAAAATAGAGAAAAGTAAAATGTAGAAAAGTAAAAAAATCCTCTTGGGCCTTAAATCTCACTAAAATTGTTTGCTATTTATTACTGAGAGCTTTCAAGATTAATTATCTTCGCAGACACTCCATGCCTAAGAGGTTACAGAAAAAAATCCTGAAGGCAGTGAAGTACATAGCTATAGTTTTGCACAATAACTTCAAGTTAAACTCTCCATTTGATGGTGTTGACTTAAGCAAATTTGAGACTGTACCTATTTGGTTAGGAGAAGGCCATAAAGAACAAAGAAACTTTACATTCTTATTTTGCCAGAGGGGCTACCAGAAGGTTGTTCAGGGGAAAGCATCTTTTCCATTGGATTAGCCCACTGTTAATGACAGTATGTAAGTTGGTGTTGACAGTAATGTTGATGACAGTAGCAATAACTTTTGAACATGCAGGTGGCAAAAAGTTCCACCTCCAATATTTTGTTGAAGGAAAAACTCTGACTACCCTTCTTTGATGTAAGGATGACTCTCAGGAGCTGACTATGATTAACAGCCTTTTTGTGGTCATTTTCTTTTTTTCTCAGATGCATAAATCTAGAACCCGATCTCTGGATACGAGAGTTTTATTTGAGAACTTTGCTACCTGTGTTTTAAAGCCTAAAAAGGTCCTTATAATATAGAAAACACTCTAGAGATCCAGAACATTTAGATACCATTTCTAGAAAGAACAATCTCATGTGTTTAGACTCTGTCTGCATGAAATCTCTACCTGACATTGGAAGTATTCATGGGAGGGAGGTTTTTGATATTTATTGCTATTTGGAACAGCAATGGAGTTTTGCCAGGCCAGAGAAGCAAAAAGAATGCCTGGATGCAGTGACAGTATCCAGAAGGGTTTGCTTTCCCTAAGATCACAACTGCTGCGGGTTCTGTGTGTCACATTCCCTGTATGAATACTTCAAATACAACTGCGTTTCCCAGAGCCACCATTCAGGTTGGTTCACATATTGTAAAACCATGCCATGGTTGGCCCATTCATATACTTTCTGTCAAGCTAGTGATGCCTTGTATTGAATCCTGCACTAGGGAAGACTGGTTTTGAAATGAGCTATTCCCTCGCAGCAACCTTGTCTTCCTGCTTGGGAATTTTGTCATCAATGAGAAATGTGGGTGCTGAAATTCACTATTTCCTTTTTTTTGTTGTTCTTTCTAATATGGTCTCACTTTTACCTACCCACAAGGAATACCCTTTTTCTCAAACAGGTGGAGGTTGAACATGAACATGTCCCTATCGTACCAAGTCTGTCAGTTGGTTTGATATCCAAAATGAGAAACAAGAAAGCCTGTTCAAAGCCTTTAGGGCTCAATAAATGGAGGAAATATATTATGCTGAGAAACTCAGCCATGGATTACAGGCATTGCACAGTCTTGCAAAAGACAAAAGACTGAACACTTCAATCACATGTCCTAGAGCTCTCAACAGGAGATGTGACTTCACTACCACTGGGGAAACACGGAGCAATCACTGTCAGATGAACGGAAAGACTGATCACAGGGTACTACCCTGTGGCAATCAAAGTAGACAGACCAGTAAAGGAAAATGAAAAATCATTCTTTTAAATTCTTTGACATATTTCTGGAAATGTTGAGCAACATCCAGCAGTGGGGCCTTCCCCAAAAGAGAGTTACTCAGAATCTGACAAAATTTTATACTTTAAATTAATTTTGGCATAAAAAATAAACCGAAACTTTCCTTCTTCCTTCATTGGATCAGAAAAAAGTACAGTTGCTGTAGAATTGCCTCCTCTTAGGTGTATTAAATATGGTGCTTGTGATGACACTGCAGCAACGAATTGAATTTGCAGCAGTAATAGTTGTTTCAACAAATGGAAGGCAAAACAAGATAAACACCATTCAATAAAAATTTTATCAAATGATTCCTCTTAATATTAGAATAGATTTCCTCTTCATATTAGAATAGACTTATTTATTTCTCTAATGAAAGTGAAATATCTTCTCCAAGACGTGCCCTGTCACAACACTGTGACGCCTGGAATGAGCGACATTTTCTCTGGCATTTCTTTTTTCCATTAATGCCACAAAGTGCACTGCATGCATACGAAACGACATTTTTACTAACATGTGGTACTTACTTATCTCCCACAATTCCTAAGTTGATTGTTGGATACCCATGTTCTTGGATCGTAGCTAGGAGAGTTGAACGGTTACTGTCCCGAATCTTTCCTGGCAAGAGGTCATCTTCAGGATTCAATAGCTATAAAACCAGAAACACTCTCAGTCAGTCTTGGAATACTGTGCCTTTACAGAAGTGAGAATTTTCTTCCTCAGATTGGACAGGATATTCTTATAGGACATCTATCATAAAATACATGTGTAAAGTGATTTAGTGAATTTAAATTAATAAGATATGTAATGTGCTTATTTAGTCCAAACCTCCATGTTGCTTAGTTTGTTTCTAATGGTTCATGTCTGCAAAACTTTCTTTCTCTTTATGAGTACCTGGCTTCTAATCTCAAACATCAGAAATCAAACCACAAACTTTAAGTTTCCAAGTTATTGCTTCTATTTAAATGGTTTTAAAGGAACCTCACTGATGTTGCAAACCAGATATAAAGGTGTTAAAAGAAATTTTGAAGTTCATTGTCTACTTTCCAATAAAGATTTTTTTAAATACAACAATCTGTACTGAAATAATAGACAGAAGCTTAAAGCTTGTTTTTTATATCAATTAGTGTTTTGGATGAAAAGCTTTCTCTCAAGATAGTACCCTGGCAATCTCCTTACATGTGCTACATACTTTGGAAGGTAAACTACAAAACACACATATGTAAACATGTATTTTACATATATTAGGAATTCTTTTGTAGGACACAAAGAACAACACAATATTGACAGGAGGTAAACAATAATAATAATAAGAATGTATCTGTCAGAATTACAGCAAGAATGTTAGGTAGTAAGGTAAAAATAACCAAAAGTGGAGCACAGCTAATTTTGACACTTTGGCTAGCAGCTCTACTTCTGTGAAGATTTCTATAGGATGATTAAGAAATCCACTGTGCAGGACCTTTTTTAACACATAATACAAAAGAGAGTGCCCACATCAGTAAAGGATCCTTTAATGACAAGCAAGACCATTCAGTCATACAGAAGACACTACTCAGATAATCATCACCTGTAGCTCTTCAGATTTGTTCTTCGGTTAGCTATATGCTTCCTGCACAACAGACCCCATCTATGTTATGAAATCTGGTAAGATTCTGTCCCAGCAAGGCTGGCCTCAGCCACCCACAGTACTCAGAAGTCACAGAATAACCTTCACTGGGGTTGTGGAAGTTGTAAGGACACCACCAGATGACAAAATGCAACGTATTAAAAGTTTTCAAAATCTTTCAAAATTCAACATACTCAATCTGTATGGGAATACAGCTATTTGGTTTATGTTTGTGTCTGCCCTTCAAAAAGTTTGTCTTGCAGGACAGTCAAAATTATAGGTCAAACTTCACACTGTCTTTAAACTTCAAACTCACTTTATCTCAACCCATAAGTTCTTTTGCTTTTGCTCTTCCTATTTGTTCTCTGTCCCACTGCGGGACAGAATGAGAGAGCAGCTGTGTGGGTGCTTAGTTGCTGGCCAGGGTCAACCCACAATATATGTAAAATTAGTAAATTAAATGAATCTTGAACATGAGTTAAGGCAAAGCAATTAGGAAGCTGGTCTGGAGTTCTACTGACATATTGCCTGGATTTCAACATGTGCTACTAATAAAAAAAATACTAAGGCACAATACTACAGCAAGGCATTTGGTAGTACTATTCAGTTTTCAGAGAGGTTATCTGCCATTTGCACTGTAGCTACAGTAGAACGCCGCTTAAAAGAAATTACTCTTCCAGTCATGACTGGCAGTATGAATATTACAACCTTGACTAGCTCACAGGTCCTCCCTTGCTGGCAGGAGTAAAGCAGCTGGCACGTGGTTGGATACATTACCAAAATTTTTCCAAAGACAGTGTGTGAGACTTGTGATAGAGGCCTCGAGGGCTAAAACACAAGCAGCTGATTACACGTTGATCACTCACAAAAATACCTCATGTCAACATGAGCTGCAGCTGAAAAAGTGAGTCTACTTGGGGATACAGTGGAAGTCATTATCCAAAACACTGTACCTGTCCCGAAGAAGATACAGTACTTCAGATTTAGTACTCTGATCCCAAATGTACTTTTCTTACCTCATTCCCTGTTGACATGACTGCAACCACTGGAAACTTGTTAACTTCTACTTCGGTTACTCCAACAGTTGCTAAGAGACCAATCTCAGACGGACCCATGTGGGTTCCTTTAGCCAGCACACATTCACCTCTTTTAATGTCATGTCCTATAGGTCTGAAAATCATAGCACAGGAAAAAAACGGAATTAAAAACAGAATGAGATTGAGGGTATCTTTCCTTGATTGGTCCTCCTCCAGGTAAGGAGTGTCCAGGGATGTTCATCAGTCAGATTGTCAACATGTCATTACTACTTATGGTCAAAGAATGACTGTAAAAATCACGAGTCCTTCTATCCCTTACAGAGATACTTTACTGTTTATCAAGTAGGCTGTTTACAGACCTGATATCTTGGCCTGGTCGAGCCTGCACCAGGATTCGAACCTCTAGTTCTTCAGTGCCCTACAAAAACAAGATTAAATACAGTCAGCAGGGCCACTCAAAAAAGATTATTCAATTTTAATTTCTCAGAAGTCTACACAGCTTACAGTACTCATTACACTGAGACTTTATGGTTTAAGCATCATCATCATTCTCCTGATCTGTGTGTCAAGATTGTAATACAATGTGTGCTAAAACTGACAGCTTTATAAGAAATTCTCTCTTTGCTGAGCTCACCAGGGAAGGACCAGCACCGAATACACAGTTTTACCTTCCTTTTTTTATGATCCCTGTGTTTATATATGTTATGTTACGTCCTATGTTTGTCTATCTGGTATACCAAGTGGATTCGTTCTATTCCTCTCAGCTAACTTGATCTGCTTGAACAATTTCAAAGATGGCATTTCAAAAAGAGTGTAATTCTGACAGACAATATGCCATTACATCTGCAGAAAGGTGGGAAGAAGCTGTATGCCCTAACTATTCAAGGATTTTCACATAGATTCCTGTAGTGGAAACTCCTACTTGAGAGTTTTGTACAAATCAGAAAGAGGCTTATTCATCATGTTTATTTACTGTGAACAAGATACAGTGGCCTGAAAAATCTGATACTTACTTTAATATTTGTGTTTACTCCTTCCGAATTTCAATGGTTTGGTGATTCATTCAATGCCAATAAATGGCACATGACCTATATTGTTAATATTTAATTTGTAAGCCCTGCAAGTGGGTTGATGATATATATACTCAGCTTTGAGATACTGCCAGCCTGTAAGTAGCACTAAATCTACACTTACTTAGACTGGAACAATTTTGGTTTTACATTATCATATAGTATTTCATACTTTAAGTACCCCAAAGTCATAAATCAGACACTAATATTACAAGACCAACACGGGACATCATCGTCAATTTCGAATTTTTACAGGAATGATAGTGTTGTATAGGACACTGGGACTTGTCTCTTTTCTTAAAGGTGATATGGACTGCATCTTCTGAGTACAAACTAAGTGCTTTAAACTAAAGACCCCGAAGTTAAAGTTAATGAATGTGTTGTCATAGATTGTAATTCTGTTTCCCTACCATGAAAAGGATAAATTTAGACCCCTGAAAACCAGGAAATGAAGAATAAAAACACCAATCCTGAAAAAAAAAATTTCTTACTTTATCGCAGTATTTTCAAAATATGCTGTTAATGCAAATTCTGTTTCTTTTATACCTGCTTCTCCCATATAAGAGAAGAGACTATTTTTGGCTGTTAGCATCCAAAATGGCTGTGCTGGTGCCGAGGATATCCTTTTATTTCCCTTATCCCCACCTGAAGCTGTAAAAGACACTTTAGGCTTGTGATGAAAATCTGGGGCAACAGTTAGTCTAAGAACTATTTTATTTTTATGACACTCTGGGGATGGTTGACCACTCATTAAGATTTGAATTTTCCATACCTTTGATAACATTTTATTAAAGATAGCTAGGAAGTGTTTAGTGAATCAAGAGGAGTGCCAGTGATACAGTTGAGTAATATAAAAGGTCCTATTTAGGACTCCTGGATTAGGGAAAGCAAGGGAAAAAAAAAAGCTGTTGAGGAATTTAGTAATCCCAGGTTTGAAAAGCACTGTGGAAAGTGTGGCTATGGACAATGTGGTAATGCATGGAGATTGTTATTTATGGAACTGCTGGATATCCCAGAATGCTTTAGGAATACAAGATAATTAAGGTGGCTAGAGGTAGGGCATGCAGAGAAAGGTATGGCATTATGCTGAGAACACCTTCCATTTGGTGTATATCAGGCAACATTCTCCTTGCTGTGTATTAATATATTTTGAACAATGTCCGAGTGGTTTGCTCTGATGGTTGTTAACAGCCAGCATCCATACCCATTGATGTAGGATCTAACTCTTGTTTTGGCTGCTCACATTGGCCACTTTTTTTCCTACAAGGTGACATAAAATCTCAAAATGAAAAGGGTGTAGATATGTTTTTGCAAGGATCGGTTTCTCAATGACTGTGCATTTGGCAAGCTGATGAGAATTTTTCTTCCTGCTGGACAGATGTAATTCCTTTCTGTGACTCCTACAGTCATTTGGGGAATGCTTGCTACGATATTCAAGTACTGCTACCACAACTAGAGGTCAAGAAGCAACTTTTAAAAGTACTCTTTGTCTTTTCAGAAGAACATTTTTCAGATGTTACAGATGTCATTTCAGTTGAATGCCAGCCCTGAAGGAGCTCTTGACGCCAAAAAGAAAAATATTCATGAAATATTTAGCCACCCAGGCATGAAAAAGGAGAGAAAAATATCATATTAATTAAACTATACTAATTCTTTATGTACAGGATTAGCAGAGTGGCATGTTCAAGGACAAATAGAAACTGAAGAGTTCTACCTCACACTTACAGGCAGGAATGAGAAGCTGGAGGTGGCTGACTGTTGACTAAAAAATTCAGGGTTTAAGCACACAGCCAGATAATCTGTTCTCACAGGCAGAGGAGGACATGCACAGAAAAAGTGTAATCCAGGAAGACAGTCATCCAAAGAAGCAGAAAATAACAGGTTATCATGTATGTTCCTCTGCCATATGATAGTCCTGTGACGATGAGGTGGACAATGGCCCCAGAAAACTTGCTTGGTAAGGCTAATGGAACAATTAACAAGGAGTGAAGGCAATAGTGTATTTTATGGGAAGATATAAACTACACATACACATCTGTAACCTCAAAGCAGGACTGACTCAATAAATTCTCTGTTAGGAAGAAGGCCAGCCTAGACAGCTTGCTGACTTAATCAGATGTAAAAATCTATGCATTTACAGTAATAAGGTATAGGAAAGGATCATAGAAGAGCGTTTCAGTTTTTGTTGTCTTCACCAGCTTTGAACACTAGAATTCATCTGCTTACACCCCAGCTGCAATTGCAATGCTAGCATAGAACTATGGCAAAGCGGAACAGCTTGTCAGAACAGCAGCAGAGGAGAAAAGGCTGATTCGAGCAGAGAACCATGCACACACTTCATTCCAAAACTGAACTGGGAAGTTGTGTCAATAAGAGATGTATCTTCTTGCCTTAAAAAACTGTCAGATGATGGCAAACATGATGATGGTGTCCTGAAATCACAGGTAAGTGAAGTGGGTAAGTTAAGGTAATCATTCAGAAGGAATCGTCTGAACACAAAGGAAGAGAGAACAATAATTTGGAACTCTAATATGGACTGTTTGGGGTACAATTGTTTACAGATAGCTCCTGTGCTTCATCAAAAAAAAAATTAACTTAGTTAAGACAAATGTGCGTACAGAATTAGTACTACAGCACTCATTTTTTTCAGTGGTGTTTTGCAGCATCTGTAAGGTAGAATGCTATTATGGTTTACAAGTATGCTGGAAAATCTGTTCAAATTAAACAGAGTTAAGACTATGTTCTGGAGGAATATGCCAGGGATTCTGGAGGAATTATCCATTGCCTGGTTTTCAAAGGTCTTAAATTCAGTAATTTTCTCATTTTAAAGGAGCACAGAGGTCTATTGAAGAAGCTTAGTCATGGTTTAAAAAATTTCAGGGGACACTTACTTCCCCTGTTACATAATAAAACCCCTTAATTTACACATAGGCATTTATTGTAAGTTATGTGCACAAGACATATTCTCCAAAATCCATCAAATTTACCTTTGCTGAAATGAGACCAACTCTGATAATACAGAATCATCTTCATAGCACAGTTAAAAATAATCCAATTCATGCCATGGATTTTGCAGCACTTAAGACAGTTCATTTCCCCATAGAAAACCATATTCAGCTTTAACTACATCAGCGGTAATGCTGCACTGGAATATTTCAACGTACTATGCTGGGATCACTATGTATTTCAAGAAAACTTTTCCCCTTCTTACTGGGTGAGTTTAGGAGAACTTTTAAAGTCCTCATCTTGCTGAGTTTCAGGCTGATCCTGAAATATGAAGAGGATTGCTCTACTGCTAAACGTGAACTCAGTAGAAAAGAAGGAAATAAAATGCCTGATTGCCCCTACTCTGTATTTTAAAACGTGAATACACTAGGCACTCAAATTGGACTGTAGTTATGGATCTCCAGGAGGCATTCGCCTCTCACTCAATCATCCTCCCAAACACTTCGGTATCAGCATTCAACAACTGTGATGAAAAATCAATGTCAGGACAAGTAGATCTACGGTACTGTTCCCGCAGCCAGACAAAGTGAGTAGAATTGCCACTAGGAACTGATGTGAAAATTCTCAAACTCCTGAGATAACAATAGAGCTTTTCTGTAGGACTATCTTTCCTCTTTACAGGATTGTATCATGAGCCATTTTCTGCCACACACAAAAGAAAAATGACTTTTGTGACTCACATCATCTGATTCCCTGATGAGCTCTGTATCTTCCACTTGCACCACTGCATCAGCACCACATGGAATTGGAGCACCGGTTGTAACTCGCATTACCTGACCAGGCATCACAGTCTGAGTTGGCTGAAAAATAAACAAACAACAATTAATTTACTTTTGAAAACAAAAATCTCAAACCATTTGAACTTTATGGAAGTAATCTGAAAGACTAAAATTCTTATTTGTGGCATGACTCTTGATATACTGGTGACATTAACAGGTACCAACTCCAATGTATTTACAGATCATTAGGTCATTGCTTCAGATCTGGCTTTTTTTTAATATGGTCACATATTAGGTGGTTTCAGATTTTTCCTCTTAGATTTCTGTCACAAGAATAACTTTCAGAAGCAGCAATATACTGATACCCTGGTTGGCTCAGAAAAATAACTGGCTCACAAAGGTAACGGTTAGATGGTAACCTTCTAGAAACTTACATGAGCAAAAATCTAATAGTTCTCTGTACATAAATATTTTTGCAGAGTACTCTGGTCCCCAGGGTTGAAATTTCTGTGCTTTGGTTTGGTGTGGTTTCTGTTCTGTTTTGTTTTACCAGCACACTATATATAGAAACCCAGCAGCTTGTAAGTAATGTAACCAGCTGCTTCATTTTCAAGCAGATTTCCTCATACTGAGAGACAGCTCAACACTAGTTCACACAGAATATCTATCTTTGTGAGGGTCAGTTTAGCAAAGCCTAAAATTGATAATATTCTACAATTATGTAAAGTCACAGGACATTACAAAGTTTCAGCAGAAGCAATATGAAGAATAGAAAAATATCAGAACAACATGACAAAACAAATTACATGGTTTCAATAAAATTTCTCACTAGGCAGCCTATTTTAATACACATTTTTCAAAATCCAGAGCAAAACTGTAATTTGACCATAACCACTTAAGAAATAAATAACGAAAAGAAAAATCGTTCTAAAAAAATGCAACTAAAAGAAGCTGGTACGATGACTGAGATGTCATTGCTGAAATATCAGTGCTGGCTCCCTGAAGCACTTCAGTAAGCCCAACTTATTTAGGCTTCACTGTTACTAGTGAACATGTGCTACCCACAGATCTACACAGCTGTGATCAGACCCAACATATTCTGTACATGTCACACGTATAATTCATGTGCAGACTGACTCTATATTCCATATGCAGCACTGGAGTATGTCCAGGACTTCTCAGACTGTGATTCACACATATCTGATAGCAACCCACAGACGTGCAAGCAGCACTGCGCAAGCACTATTCCTGCTCCCATCCAGCAGTCATTCATTCCGTGACTTGACAGGTGGCTGTTAGACATCTGCAAATTCTCGACCGGTGGCCAATGCTTCAGCTGTGCAAAGTTGTGTTTGCCTTGCCCATTCTTCTACTCCATTTCAGCACTGTCTTAGCCTCCGAAATGTATCACTTTGAAAAGTGTGTATTTCAAAGGTTGCTTATTGGAACACAAGCCCTAGGGAGAGGCTGGAAGTGGTTTGTGCCTGGTTTACTACAGTATCACAGTGACCTATGTATCCAAGAAACAACTGAGCCTGGAGTTGATTGAATCCTGATCCTTTTCTAAGGGTAGTGGAAATTTAACATCCTTTGAGAAGAACATAAATAAAATGCTAAACTAAACTAAAAAAAAAAAAAATCACACTTGCCATATGTCACAGTTAGTGTGTTTTTAAGGCAAGACTCATGTTATCGTAAAGTTGGTATCTAAAACAGATTACATAAAAATAATAGTTTTTTCTTTTTAAATGGTATTTATTTCTCACCACAGACTATGCAAGGAGCTGTGGATGAACAGCTGAGATGCTTCCATTTATACTGAAGATACTTAAAAGTGAAAATAATCTTGTGCAGTGTGTTATTTTGATTATTATGAAAACAAATATTGCAAAAGGCAAAGCTTACGCCTTGGATTATGGGAGCTTTTTTGCATATAGTTGTAGATATAGCCTATAGGCACATTACAAATAGGTAATAATGTTTTGAACTTACTAAAGCATTGATGTCTTTAGTGACCATTTTTAGAGGAAAAATGTATTGCATAAAAAATTCTGCCATTTAAAATGCCCCTTTTGGACCTCAAGAACCACAAAGAATACAAAATGTCTAGGACTCTGCCAGAAATCAGTGCCTATGGTGATAAAATGCGCTGTAACTATTCATGCCTTTGGAGTTTATTACTTGATGAGTTAATTTTTCGAGGTGTAATGATGTGAAACATTTAAACAAATTTATGATACAATAACAATTGCTTTTAGAATTGGCTGCTCATATATTTAATTTCCTTTTTGTCCTTTGAGAATTTGATCAGATTAACTTTATGAACAAAAGTCAACCATCAGATTTGTGTGTGAATCTCCAGGGCTGTGTTCTTCTGTGCTAGACACTATGAAGATAAAGAAATGATTCCTTCTCAGAAAGCATACTAATGTACAACAATTTCACAGAAACTCTTTTAAGGGCCTTTGAGATCTCACACTTACCTGGCATAGTGCAGTATTGGCTTCTGTCCTTTGCCTTCATCACTGATAATCTATTTAATGTTAGTCACTGAATAAAACCCAGAAATAATCTATTGAGCACAGCCTCCATCTCAGGCATTTTCTCTTGCACATGATTACGCTTCTCCTGCTCCTTTCTGTAATAAGGCCCAAGTTAATGGAAAGGTGAAAAATGTCTGTTTTCCAGTCTATATTATAGCTGGTTAGTCACAGTGCCTCTTACAAACGTCTTCAGAAATGTTTCCAGGAAATCCTAAGCTCCAGCTACGCAAATTTATAGGAAGAAAATCATTGCTCCCCGTGGCTGAGTTTTTCACACAGAGGTCATGTGGATGGCTTGTGACTAGTACTCTCAAACATGCCTTAACGTCCCCAAAGCAGGATAAAGTCTGAAAGTTTTCCTCAATACAAAATAAAAAATGGTTTACATAAACACAACCATCTGGAATTGGAAATCACAAAATAATACATTATTTACAAATTGATACCGAAATGTCCAACTTGGCTATATGGCCTCTCTGAAATTCTCAGTCCCATTTTCTTCCTCTCTATGTAGCATTTACATAACCTTTTTCCCTCCAGGAGGAGCCAAATCTAAACCTATTTTGAACTCCCTGCTGTGAAGCATTCTGTTAATTGGTCTGTAACATGAAAAGCAGAATGTTGCTGCTGAGAGCGACTGAAGGGTGAAATGAGACTGAGGAGCCTTCCAAGGCTATAAATAATTTCTTGGGAAGGAGATGAACCTGAAGATGTGTTGGCCCAAGAAAAAAACTGACCAGTTATTCAGAGGTCAACAGCCTCATTTTTCTAACTCGACACTGGTATTTCCAGAATTATTCTCCCTCTGCATGCCTCCTCCTACCCAATTTTTGTTCCTTGCCAGAGATGTTTCCTACTCCCATTAATCGGGGAGGACAGACTGTCCCTGCAGAGAGATATTTGTGAGCTCTTGAATTTTGTAGGAGGGAAGCAAGCTCCCATTTGCCCTTTTATCCTTTGTACAAACCTGCTGAACTGATTAGGACATTGAAATCCTTTAGACCCGTGGGCAGCCCTCCCCATTAGACACAGCTTCAACAGTACTGTTTTTAAGCACCACTGTGCTCTGATATTTTTTAACTAGCAAAATAATACTAATGACAAGTGAATAACAATAGCAGTGATAATTCAGCAGGTTGCTCTGTTGGTTCTTGCTATTTTATAGTGACCATAAAAAGGGTTGTAGAAATAGTTGTCAGGATTCTGTCAGTTGACTAATGCAATGCAGACAGAAGGGCTAAAAATCCAAGGCAAGTGAAATTCATTAGTCTACTTTTTTAGTATTTAAAGTATTTTTACATATTTTATATAACAGATTCATTAATCTAAGTTCATTTGAGTATTGAGAAGATGTCTATTATACCAAAGTACAATTCATGATGATGGATGGGAACTACAGCAAAAAATATTTTCATAATTCTCTGTATATATCATGATCAGCCAAATTAAATGTCTGTTACGCATTTAGAGGCAGTTCAACTCTGTTTTTTAAAAAATGGAACAATCCTGCAACTGGTAATATTTCTAAAACCTGAAATAACTTTTGAAATGCATCTATTTTATTAGAAACTTTTTTGTTTAGCCGTCAAAATGGCCACACTGTAAAATCCTCTTTAAAACTGATCAATCCTTTGTTTTGCCTGTTACTTATTCCATTTCTTTATCATTTCACATACAGCACACAGAACTGGGACTTGAAATAGCTGAAGAAACATTTTGGATTAACCCATGCTCTCCTGAAAAGAAGGTGGCAGGTACAATTGAATTGACAGAATAAAAAAAAAGTGGTTGAATGCAACTTTTTTTTTCTTATCACCCCTGTATTGGTGCAGGAACTTTATCAAATGCACTCTTGGGTTTGAGAGCAAATCCCAAATAGTGTCCATCTGAATATTTATACAGCACAGCCGGTCATGAATGGGTGCTGCGCTGACTTGCTCTTAAACTCAATCCACATACCTGCTAAGGTGCACAAACACTCTTTTGATTTAAGAAACAGAAAAGGAGCAATACCACAGACTAGGCTGCTGCCAGGCTTCCTCAAGTTTGTTCCGATCATTACTTACCTCAAAGGCTTCATACAAAATTCTTACGTTCTGTTTTGCAGTGTGAAATATGCAAGCAGCTTATGAAACAGTTACTGGGCTGATGTGCCTTTTAAAATCTGTCAGCAAGAAGGGGTTACGTCTTGCTTTTTTCTGTTTATGAATTGTAATGCCACTAGAAACCTTATGTCCTCTAACATTGTACTAGGACAGAACATTACTGTATGCACTCCTATTGGACATGTCAGCACAACGCTCTGAAGTATTTTGGGATATCCTTGTTAGTTCCTTATGTAACCGTACGACCTCACTTTCTGAAATCTTGTCCCAAGGCACAGCAGGAGGCTAGGTACAGCTGTGTCCTATTTCATGCCACCTCCAAGAAAATTGAGTTTTGGAGCACTAGCAAGGCTTGTAAAAATACAAAGCAATATCTTCCAAAAGAAAAATACATTAAAAAGGAAAAAAGAGAAAAGAAATTGTGCTCACCTGCTCACCAGCCTGGGATTCCCCTATGATGAATCGATCTCCTGGGCCATCAGCAGCTGTTAAGATGGACAATACAAATGTTAAAGGCTGAACCAAAACAAACGATGGCATTAGAAATTAAGAACAGGAGAACCAAAGAATGATCTAAGATTCAGTTCTTCAGCATCAGCATGACAAAGGTTACAGAAGTTTTGCTAGTATTTTACATTTTCCTTTTAAGTTGTGTTTATTATTTTGAAAATTACAGGTTCTATAGCACTTTTAACTGAAAATTTCTGGACAATATGGGATCAAGTAAAAGGAGTTTAGGAGGACTTGCATTAATAATGAAGATTTAAGACTGTTCATGACATTATTTTTACAAAAATGTCCACTGTGAGCAAATCCTTTTCCATGTGAAACTAACACAGGGGAATCACACTTTCTAAGTGTATTATGAATCTTTTTTCTAGACAACAATAGAATTTCTAGATTCTGTCTCTGCCTTTGGAGGAAAACATGGACAAGTGCAGTGGTTACAGCCTGTGTAGACAACCACACAGGTTTGCCATTGTCTGAAGAGCACTAGGGCTAAGACAATGCAACTTGGACTGCCACATTAGAAGTCTGGGTTCTGTTCCTTTTTGGAATTTTAGGAGGTAGCACTGAACTGGTTACCTTATACCTTTCACTGAAGCCATTCTGAAAAGTCAGAGATCATTGACTTAACAAACTGAAAGACTCCAGGACTTCTAATTTAGTCAAATCTGTATTTTTACAGGGACAACAAAGGCACCATTACTAGCAACGTTTAAGCTTCTCTCTGCATCAAAGGTCCTCCAGCAAGTTACATTAACGGTATTATAGTCTCTACCATGGTGTAAAGCAACTCTGCCTGTCCAAGCACAGCAGGCATGCCTTCAAGAGTGTTCAGACAAACCGGGTTCATATGATCACATTTAAATATATCTTTTTATTGATTTTAAATCTGTAACCGTCAAAAGTTGATTTCCCAGAGATCAAGTTTAATTAGTGACAACCTTTATCTTAATACCTTATGTTTTATTTTAAAAGCCTTGAATATACAGCTAGATAACCTTATCATATTGAGAATTGCCTTTGGGAAGGATGCCCATTCAGTCTGTGTAACTATTTGTCACATCTGTACTCATACATCAGCAGCAACTCTGCAAATGATGATCTATGGTACTTAGTCATGTTTGAAGACTAATGACTAACTTAACTTTAAAAGCCTATCAAACAGCCTAATCTATGAGCTTTAGAATAAACTCTAAAATAAGAAAGCAGAAAAGAACTCTTCAACTACTTGTCTTTGAATAATGCATATAATCCTACTGAATACAGTTGTCAGACCTGAAAAAAATGCACTGGAAGATCCAGCAAAAGCAGAGAAAAAATTCCCTAAAAGCTAAATTATTTTAGACCTGATAAAATGCTACTGAATTAAATTTTTTCCCCCCATTAATAATGATATAGAGACAGAGTTTATAGGTGATGAACAACTGACACTTGAAAAGCTTGAAAAAGTAGAGGAGGTTTTGGGCAGACAGGTTTATGTGACTGAAAGCTAATCTTTTATTTTTTTTAAAATATGTGTTAACATAGTCAATATTATTTCTGCCTACAAGCTTTGTTTCTCACATGCTGAGATAACAGATCTACAAGAACAATAAGAAAAGACTAGACTAGACTATTTCAGTTGGAAGGGACCTACAATGATTATCTAGTCCAGCTGCCTGACCACTTCTGGGTTGACCAACACTTAAAGCATGTTGTTAAGGGCATTGTCCAAACGCTTCTTAATCACCTGACAGGCATGGTGCATCGTCCACCTCTCTAGGAAGCCAGTTCCAGGGTTTGACCACCCTCTCAGTAAAGAAATGTTTCCTAATGTCAAGTCTGAACCTCCCCTGGTGCAGCTTTGAACCATTCTCATGTGTCCTATTACTGGATCCCAGGGAGAAGAGATCAGCACCTCCCTCTGCACTTTCCCTCCTCAGGAAGCTGTAGGGAACAATGAGGTTGCCATTGCCCCTCAGCCTCCTTTTCTCCAAGCTAGACAAACCTGAAGTCCTTAGCTGCTTCTTATAGGACATTCCTTCTACCCCTTTCATCAGCTTTGTTGCCCTCCTGTGGATGCATTCAAGGACCTTACTGTTACTCTATTTGAATCCATCACCAAAATTAGGGTCTTGTGTGTTGGTTCTCACAGAAGTTGTTGAAGTTGGTGTTCATGGTAATTCTGATCATTCTGTGTACTTGTGCTTTCCCTTACCTTGTAGTAAACAGGTTTCAAGACAGCATTTGCTTGATCCCAAGGCCCTTGTCAGTCAGCATTCTACTCAGAGCTCCCCCTCTGAGCTTTTCTCTGTGTTAGAATACCTGTATTTCTCTGGCTACATCTGCACTCCCTTGCAGCTGTTACTGGTCATTTTGGTCTGCCTGTCTCTCACACACATAGATGACAGACAGCTGCAGTCAAACTCATCTCATAGATCTAGAATTTTTTTAATATCAAACTCATGGGGAAGCTATTGGATTACACCCACTGCCTGGGTTTGCAGACAGTCTGTTTCATGGACAGTTGCTTTCCATTGTTTCAGCTGCCAGTAACAAAAAAGATATTTTAATGTCCCTAGAAGAAAGTTGGCTATTGTGTCCAAATTTCAATGTGGTGTTACAATGATTCAACCCCTACCACAATGAAATCACTAATAGCATAATGTTCAATTATACATATTTTAATTTTCCTCCATAGATATCTGAGGTGAATATCATTAGTCTTACTTTACAAAGGGAAAAACTGAGGCAAACAGAGGCAACTTGCTCAAAATCATGCAGCACCTAGTGACAAAGCAGAGGATGGACTCTGGTCCCCTGGGAAACCACTCGCTGCTTGCTCCGTAAAGTCACACTACTAATTTTATTTATACACAGCAACTGCAATATTTGCAAAGTAAAAATGACATTTTCTTTTGAGATGCCTCCATAAGAGTATATTCTGATAGGTACTTTTGAAAATTCCCTAATGCAATCATAAAATAATTCACAAACAGGAAGCTGGATCTATGACAGTTCAGCAAAGTAACATATATGTAAGAAATTCCTGATTAAATCAACAATAGAGGAATAGAAGAAGAATCTGCCACTCAGAAACAGATGTTCTGGTACTCTCTCTAACTCCTTATGTTTCCAAGAAATTCACCAGCAACACAGACACATGTCTGTGAGCAGACATAGATGTACATTTGCTTGTGTACATACATATCCACTTAATAGACCTGAATTCAACTTTATGGTCTTCCTTCGAGACAGCTGCATTCTATGTAACTGTGACTTCAGCAATGATCTGAATCAAATCTCAACTGAAATAGCTGCTGCTGGATCCAAAATAGGTGAACTAACATGTTATAAAGTGGTTTTACAGGCACTATACTGCATGTCTACAAAGTGAGTATTTACCTCTGACAGCGTAGCCGTCTTTTACTGATGCTGGAAATGGTGGTAGATTATCTTTTGCATATACGTCTTGAGCAAGGACTCGGCCCATTCCATCTAGAAAAGAGAAAAGACCATGCTCCACGTCATTACAGCTAGCGACAGGGAAAGCGAATGAACAGCAGTGTGCTCTGATGGATGAAACATATGTGTATGTGACATGAACAGATCTCAGGTTTTTGACTTCTGACACTACATAAATGAAAAAAAGAGTTGAGTCTGAAACTATTGACAAAAGATTTGTTCAGGAAGCCTGTGTTCCTGGTTATGGTGAAATTGTTGACAGTAGCGCTGAATGCCAAGTATCCAAACCCAGAGGTAATGCTCTGATATAGGATCAGACAGAAAAAATCTAAGTATTTTTTTCTCCAGGATAAGTTTTTCTCCTGAAATATCTTGAAAATGCATACTTTCCTGTTTTTCAATGTTAGAAAAAAAAGTTGTTCTTTTTTCAAAAGCTTTTAACATAACATTTCAAAAGTGAATCCTGTGTGCAAAAGGTGAGAGGTGATGGATTGAGCCCAGAGGACTCAGCCTAAACAGTAATGATGGACAAGTTTCCATAAATTGATAAAGAAGTTTTGCAATAGATTAGTTTTGCCTAATTGCTGAGAGCATTTCTGCTTAATGGAGGGTGAGTGCACATAAGTGTCAGGATTATTTATGTAAATCTACACTGTTATAGTTCTAAATATTTTAATAGCTGTTTCATACTCTTTTCCTTCACTTAGCAACTATGACTGATGAGTTGCAATTTGGCTCTGCCTCCCTGTAGAGTCTGATATGAATTACTTCACCTTCAGTCAAGTGTGCACTACTTGTTTGCTTTTAGGGCACCAGCAAGAACTTTTTTCAGTATGATGTGGCACAGAGTGGAAAATATGTATCTTATCCCTTCATACAGTGGGAAAGTGAGAAAGAAGATTTATTACATGTGTGATTAGATGGACTGGGAAAGGGCATGTGGGTCAGAACTACTGAAATCAGCTTGATTTCAGTATGTCTAAGTAGAAGGGGGGAAGCTCATGTCATAATAGAGGCCATCGCTCTTAGGAGTGTATTGTGGCACAGGAAGGCAATATCCAGCCGAAAGTATGAAGGAATGAGAGGATGCATGAATGCTTCTGCTGGGAGAATTTGCATGGATATGTACTTTATAGATTATGATCCTTCAGACATGCCAAAAAAGAGAGGCATACATAACATGTGTTTCTGGTTTTACAGATAGGGAAATTGATGTGGTTCTGGATTTGCTGGGAAGGCAGAAGATCTAACATTGCATGCTGAATGGATACGTTTTGTTAAAAAGCGCACCTACTTGATTGGAAAATGTTTGGCTCCAGTGAAGTGGTATTATAATGGAGATTATATTTGACTTATTAACACAAAGTCATTTTGTTAGTAATTAATTATAATTATACTAAGTATAACGTCGTGCTCACATCCATTCGCATCAACTTTCAGCCTGAGGTGAATACTTATGTTGCATTTTTGAAATAGGTATTGCCATGAAAATGCTGATAAAACCTGTTAAAGCAACTAGAAAAGCACCTTTGTGATGGCTATTAATAGGCCTGTGCATCACTGTGTATCACTGTCTCTGATACACAATATAGAAGCTTGTGAAATCTTATACACTTGCACTGGAAAAAAGAAAGCAGACACAGACATTTAAATTATAGCATCAAAAGGCAGCTATCAAAGGCCTAGTAAAAACACCCTCTGTTCATAGACGCATAAAATCTCATACAAAAGTGATGCTTCTAATTTTAGCAGGCATGTTGTGTCTTCATTTTACTTCTTGTCTGCATGAAAATCACACCAATTAGAGCAAAGTTGAACAGTATGTTCCTGGCATTCTGCCATGCAATATTTGAAGGGAATAAATGGCCAGCCAGTAGCGGGAATGAATTTCATTAAGAGGAGAAAAATGTAAGAATTATTTGCTGAAGCCTTAGGCATTTAAAATGAAGCAAGTCAGCAAAGGGCAATCTGAAGTAACTCTGTACTCTCCTTTATTTGAGCAATTATTTTAGAAATACACTGTTTGACCTTATTTTGACTAATTGTAATTCAAAAATGATGTTCTGAAATATTTCAATGTCATCAAACTGCGCCTTGTGATGCCCATAGCTTTCTGATTCTAACACAAAATGGAGAAGCACATTAAACTCACTTTTCAAATCTGGGCATTTTCTAAAGCTTACTGGTGAAACTGGTACAGTTCTGTGCAGAGTTTTGATTTCTCAGGGTATTGGTACTGGCATAAGGTAGTGAGACAGGTATTGTACTAGAGGTGATGGATTTGCTCCCATTTTGTAAACATTGCCCTGGTAGCAATTCAGTGTGATATGAAAAGGCTCTTGGACTAGATCAGAAAAACTGCCCTCTTCTGAGGCTTAAGCCCATGAAGTGTGGATTGCCTCTGCTTTGTATTTTTAGTATCAATTAAACTTCTGCCTCTTCTTAGTTTCAGAAGAATAACTATTATCATGCTAACAACTTTATATACCCACGGAACAATGTTCAGGTAACTGCATTTAGCTGGAATAAAAGGCTGATTTGGGGTTTCACACCATACATTGATGACAGGAGGTGGGAAATATGCTTCAGATGCCTCTGGTTTATGGCTCTTCCGTAAAATATTTTAGGACTGTAATTTTTTTTTTTTTAATATTGAAGAGGATAAATTATCTATACAGGCACTCAGCAATACACTTACCAATGTGAAAGTCATGTTTCAAAACATAACTTTACTCATCCTCACCCGTATGTTGGGAGAGGATAGATCTGAGAGACTACAGCATGCCTCAACTTAATCAAGAATAAAGTCAGGACTGTACTGGCTACTTGTGCACAGTAACATTCATCAGCTTTATTTATGAGGATGAATACTATGTCATAGGTTTAGTAATGTAAATAAGTCAGGTTAAAATTAATTAGGTAATTTGTTAATGAAATAAATTGCAATCCTAGAACTTTAAACATTATACTTTCCTTAGAGAGAAATTGTGCTCCTGAAAGGTAATTTTCAGGAGTTCAGTATTAATTCAATACACAAAACCACAAAGAAAACAAACACAGCACAACAGTGCTTTTCTGAGTACAGTTAGTTAGGATTCAGACCTCCAGGTCTACCTTTTTATTATCTCCTGAAATTACAGGTATATTAACTGAAAAATAAATGAATACATAGCTAAACGAAAAACTGGTTCTTAAGTCACTGTATTCTTCAAAATCAACATTTTTTAGCAAACTAACATATATGTGTGCATACACATATGCATATATACGTCTATACAAAAAAATCCTATGTGTTTGTCTGTTTAACACTATACTGTGATCACTTAAGAACTTCTGAAAATGAGATTCCATCTTGAGATTTGTATCTGTAAATTAAGAGAATTGAATTTCCAGTATCACAGACACAGGCGTGTCCTAAAGGCTCAATTACATATTAGTGCTAAAATAAGTATATATGTCTTTGTTACTATTTTCATTGTTGTTACAATTATGTGAATATTAAACCAAGAATATATCTCTACAGCTGATGATCTTACCATGTATCTAACTCTTTTATTTTGGGTGGGAGGGAAAAGGGTCATAACTGAAGTGTCTCATCAGACTCAGAAAATTATTTACTAAAGAACAATTGTGCCAGGAATAATAATAATCAATATGTTCCAGACCTAGAATCAGCCTGAATTTGATGTCAGTAACCAGACAACATGAAGAGCAAAATGAAATATCAACTAAGATATTATAAAGCATACTAGAATGCCTTCTCTTACCTTGACAGCATATTCCCATGTAGTAGAATAAGAACAGAAACAATCTAATTGCCCTTTTGACAAATTAAGAGTATATAAAACTCTACAGAGAATATAAGCATCTAGCTAAGACCAATTACCTCCATTCCATCTCTGTAAGGACATTTTGAAAGGCATGTAGTCTGACTAGAATCACTCTGTTATTGGTATGGTAACATTATCAGTATTAGCGCAAAACTGTTACTTAGTCCATATTTTGAGTGGTTTTTAATATTAAAATAAATTACATGGTGCAAGATTGTCCAAAGCATGTTGCAACAGGAAATTATATAAACTGTGATTTTGTCTTATTTCTTCATAGTTCTAATGAAGAAGTTTACAAATCAGATATATGAAAAGGCTGCTACCCACTGTTGATATAAATATGTTTGCACAGAGACTGGTGCATACATATAAATAGGTGGCCGTGTTATTATCAAGATATATATATATATATTTTTGAACATACATGTAGCAAGTGAGGGTTATGCTTATTCTCTGTCTACACAGAAGAATAATTTTAGCCACATTTTATTAACTTCTAGGGAAAATACAGTTTCTGTCCAGAAACAGAATGGCAGGAAAACAAAAGTGTTGTGAAACACAATGTACGTTTTCATCCAGAAGTGTACAAGATAGAGAGATGGAGAAAAGCAAAAATAAAGAGAAAAGGATGAGAGAATAAGACATATTTATAGGATAGAATCAAGGACAAAAAAAGGAAAAATAACAGCTTATCAATACTTATTTTTCCCTATAATCAATACAACCCAAATTCAGGAACTTATTTCTTCACTTAATCTTGCACTAGAGGTTTAAAAAAAATCAAAACTATTTTTATGTAGAAAAGAATAATAATGCTACAGTACCCTAACAGTACCTTACATAGCAAAATAAACATATGCTGTGCTTATTTTTCCGGGACGTACATGCCAGACTTTTATAATTTACTTCAGGGGTTCAGTGGCATATACATAGCGTCTATTTGGCCTAAAAGTACCTACCTAACATTGTGGCTCATCGTATTGTCCACAAAGGGCCGTCTTAGCAAAGACATTTAACCGACAGCTGTCCAAAAAGATCTAACAGCAATGCTCAGGCATTTATGCCTTAATGCCTTCTTCTAATCTGCACACCATTATGAAAGTGCAGGGTGTAGTATGCATATTCCTTGTTGACCCAGTATTAGTGCTGTTCTGAATGCAGAATATGCAGCATTTTCTCAGAGATCTGCTTCCTGCTACCAAGGCACAAGGGAGTGCTGATCTCCACTCGGGACTGACTAAACACAAAGCTGTGATTCTAAGCAGCCTGCTAAATCAGCACATCAAGATGAAGGCTTCATAAAGGTTTGTAGCAGCACAAAGATTTGGTGAAGAGCACGAAAAATTTGAGCTTTCAAGCCAGAAGACAGAATATCCCATTCAGAAACCATTTGTACTTCTGTGACATCTGGAGTCCACCAATGCCCTAAACATTTTGCCTCTTATCTCTTTGCTCACCACCTTACCTTTGGAAAATCTGGAGGAATCCATGGAGAAGGTTTCCTCTTCCTTACCTACTTTAGGTTTACTTGTCAGCATGCTTCCTGTCATGGTTGTGTTCTGTGCCAAGAACACTCTCCCAGATAATGCCCAGGCTTGGCGTAAGGGATAGCAGAAACAAGCAAGACACCTAATAGGCATTACGAACACACTATTTCAGGGGGGAGGATAGTTTATCTGAATAAAATGAGAGGTGCCTGCTAATCCCTTTTAAGCCCAGAAAATGGCTTCACCTCATCTATTTACAAGTACAAACAGTCACAAGGTCTGATATTTTGCCTGCTGTTAGGAGCATTTTAAGACAACCTCACTGTGTAAATCAATAACAGTTACCCTTGATTATAAAGTTAAAATAAATCAAACATTAAATACAAATAAGTATCAGAAAAGGATAAAATGTAGCGGTAAAATAGAAAGGGAATTATGTTGCGTTTATGAGAAGAGGCAGCAAATTCTGGAATGACTAGTAGGACAAGTAGGATCTGGAAAAACAGACTGAGATGAACTGTTAAAGACACAGACATGGAAAAAAGTGACCTGGAATCAATAATCACTTTGATTTGATCATTAATCTCAGATTGGAAAGGGGTTTAGTGAAAATCTTCCACAGTGAGAGAACAGAGCGAACCGTCACAGCACAACTTGGAGCTACTTGGCATCTACAAAGGTCCAGTGTTAAATCAACCACTGAGGCAAGTTGTAGTTTCTATGCTTTAGCTTTGTTGCATATAACACAGACCAGAAGAAAATTCATTTATATATTTAACGAGACTTCCATTAGATTCCTTCAGGGAGCAGCACTGAGCTCGTTCAACATTCTCCTGACTTCGAAAGGACTTCTGCTCCTATTATTGGCATTTCCTAAAGCAGTTTCTCCTGGAGAGGGTACTGTCTCAGACACCTCACAACATTAATAAAAGAGCAAGTGCTTAAGGAGGTTGTAAAATAAGGAAATAACCGCCTTAATCCTCTCAAAGAATCCAACTTAAAATACCTCTATAATTGATGATTTCTGTTCCAAGCACTGGGGTCATCTCCAGAACTGTGATGAAAGCCTTGTCCATAGATGTCAATGGGAATGGAGACATGCGGTGTCTTCTTGCTACCTTGGTAATGTCAACAGCACTGTGACCTGCAACAAGACAGCACCAAGTTTATGTATGCTACAATGTGTAGATGTACACAGTGATGTTCATCTAAACCACTTTACTGAAATTAATCCAGCACTTCAGGGTAAATTAAATTAGTTACTTATTACTATTGAGCATTTATGTCAGACACTGGGAAGGCACGGTATTCAACTAGAACCAAAAGAGAAATTGAAAACAAAATGCAATTTGCAGTAGGAAAAGTTCACAAAAGTGTATATCCTTACTTAAAACCACACCAGAAGTCTTGATGAGCATAAAAGGATCAGTTAATCAGAAACAGAAACCGTTCAAGATGATGCAGTATCTTACACTGAGGATGGCAACCTGAGGCTGACTCAGTTCTATGAACTATGAACTCAGGATGATTCACTCTTCATTCTGTTCCCCACAAACTCAATATGCTATGCGCAGTGCACAGACAGAACATGAAAATGGACACTGTTCCAGTGAGTTTGCAACCCAAGAGTGAGAGAGGAGTCAAAAGGTTTGAAAGGGGGATAGAGGGAAGCACAACGAAATCACTGGACAGTCAGGACAGCAGACAGCGTTTCCAGCTAGTGGGCATCCTACCCATTGTCAAGATTTTGTAGTCACCATAGCAAAGTGATGTTTAAATGTATAATTTGAGTGAAGGTCATAAGATAGATTAATGGAAGCTCACTTTTCCCAAGTATGAGGGACAGGTTGGGAGAAAATACGACAAAAGTTGCACAAAAACCAAGCCAGCTGCATGTTTGATTTCTTGATACTTACTGAGAGAGTAAACAAGGGAACAACAAGCTTTGAGGGATTTTGAAAGTGAAGATAACCAATTGAAGAGAGTGAACTACTGCAGGAATACATAAACAAGAGTAACAGATACAAACCGAAAGATTAAGAAAATGACATTTGTAGAAATATCTTCGATTTGCCCAGAACAAGAAGGTACTTATGAGGGCCAAAGTGGATGATGTTCTACACGTAATATCCAGATATTCCTAATGCAACATAAATTATAATAAGATAGTATTAACAAATAAGAGAAACTAATTTTTAAAGACATGATTTTGCTTTGCAGTAGCTACCTAAATATCCCATTTGCTGCTGCACCTGCCTTCACATTCTAGAAAAAAAAAAATATTGCTTTAAGTGTAGTCTTCTAATAAAAAAAATCCCCACTACAAAAATAGTAAAAACAATCATGCAATCTAAGTTTTTCCTTCAGAAGAGAAGGTCACTTACTCAATCTGTATATACAAAACTTCTTTCAGCACTGACACATGCTTGTCTCTCTATGTGGGGGATGCACTGTGAAATTTGTCAAGCATAAATAATCTAACTGACTTAATTCCTTTCCTTAATATAGCAGTTGGCACACTGAGGAAAAGAGAACCAGCTGATGAGACCAATTTTAATATATTAAGACTTTTCACACTCTTAAACATGACTTTCTCATAAGCAAAAAGGAGAAATGATCAAATTAAACTATTAAGATAAAAGTGTAACTAGTGGAAAAACTGCATTCCTGGATTTAACAACAGGGATGTCCCTGCCAAGCTTACATTGTCCATTATTATGCCTGTATTTTGTTAGCCACCTCATGAAAATGAGGAAAAGGAAAGGAAAGCATTTGTGAGACACAGTCAAACTTCCCATGTCTTCCTCTACATAAAGAAACCCTGCTGAGCAGCACCGTAATTCCTGGAGGTACAGCAGATTCCACACAATAATGTTGAAAACTTTTTCCTGACTGTATAAATTAATGAACTATTTTCCTAAAAGGAAAAGTTGGAAAAAATGAAGGAACATGGTAGGAAAAAATATGTCACAGCAGTGAAAGCTGGGGGAATTGTGCAGCAGCAAACAACTTTTATGCTAGAGCCATTAGATGCTTCAATGTTTATGTTTTACTGATACCTAAACCTTACTGTTAACTACTTCAGAAAGCAACAATTTGCCTGAACGAATTCAAAGGCTTTGAATGGTGCCCAGAAATCTACCTTCAGATTTGAAACTGTCTAATATATTTATTTAAGTCAAAGTTTCTGTTAAAATCTACTGAGAAATGCATTCTTCAACAGTTTTTTTTGGAAACAGATAAAATCCCCTAATCTCTGACAAATTTGTTCCAACACCAAAAGTAACACTCATTATTTCTGCACGAGAAGACAAGAAAATACATACTCAAAAATAGAGCCCCTTCAGGTCTAACACTAGCTTGAATAATCTTAATGAAGAAAGGAAGGTAGGTGCATGTGTAACTACTAACCCTTCTCTCCCTATTTCTCCCTTCAAACAAATGCTAACTCTTCTTTTAGAGGTATCATACATTTAAACGAACCCAGAGACAAACAAATGTTTTTTTTAAAATTCTAAACCCACTAAGTGGTATTTTTATATTACAAATAAATGACATTAAACAATTCCTCAGACCTTCCCAAGTTACCTTTCACTAATATGAAATGTCAGATGTCTCTAAAAAGAACTACTTACATTAAGCAGCAATTTGTATGACAAAATAATCCTCTAGCTTTGAAGCAGATAAGTCAATTGGTAGAAGACTCTTGACAGCCTTCTCTCTTATCACCAAAACAACTTCCTACTCCTGTTGTTATATAGATACACACGTACAGTGGATCAAATTTTAGACGAGGAAAGATTCCCATAAAGCAAAGGAAAGGAATCGTGCAATTTAAAGAACAGGTCATTTGTATCAAATCTGAATTCTTAACCTTTGCATTTTTTGGTTTGGTTTTATGAACATTCAATTTCATGTTCAGGCATGAAAATAAAAATCATATATATCCAATCTGAGAATTTCCATTTTCATTGTCTTTGAGTGTTGATTCTTTTCTGCCCATAAAACTCGCACACACATGATCATTTACCACAATACATCACCACAAAGAACACAGACCTCGATGTCATTAGAAGAACAACTTGGAAGAGAAAATTAAAAGGCAACTATCCTTTAACACATGAACACTATGACCTATTTACACTTTTATTTTCTCTTTGGACTGAATTTCATCGCCTTAAGTTATTAAATTACTTCTGCAAACCCACTTATGTCCCAATCATATCCTTCTTAACTGACTATAATTTGCCATCTTCTGAGCAGTCATAGTTTCTCAATAGAGCTATGAAGTTTCAGCACTTACTTGCTCTGAGGATGTTCTCCTTGCTGCTGCACCTAGACTGGACCTGCAGAGAGAGCACAGAGTCTATGAGCTACAGAAGTTAACAAGAATGCAAAATACAGAGATATAACGGGCAAGCTCCTGGGACCTAAGACAGAGGCTATATGTATTTTCAGCCATATTCTTACATACTCTACATGATAGAAGTACATGTAAGCAGAAGGGTAGTAGCTGATGGTCAGAATCTGATACAAGCAATTTGATTCCACCTCCCACCCCCCCATAAGAAACAAGATGGCCTAAGGCCAATAACAGAGTAAAATCAAAGAACACAGTAGTTAAAATTACGTGTTAAGCTCCAGTTTTAAACAGAACCCCTGCATTTTCTTACACAACTGTAATTACAGTAAGTCTGAACCTAGGTCTTGTTTTATGATTAGACAAAATATAATGTAAGTATATTATCATTACCTGCTTTAAAATTCTATTATTGATATTTTTGTGTATTATAGAAAGAGCATAAAATAGTCAATTTAGATTGTGTTGATTCTGAAGATATTTAATAAGACTTCTTTGTAATTGTATACGCAACTCAGAATTGCATAAACAGCTCCTGGCTGGAGCCAAACAAATTTACTCAGTTGTTTCTGTTTGGTTAAAAGAAATGCCATGTTCGGTATGAATTTTACAGTGCAATTCTATTTTAAAAAGTAACTGTGTGATAATGACAAATGGTTTCTCAACAAGTCGTCTTCCTAGATGATTAGCTGCCACTGTGCTATTCCAGATATGTTAGTCTGACTCGAAGGAAATTGGAGGATTCACATTGGTCTAACATTCTAGTAACATTGGATATTTACATATCTGTTTACCATGCAGATTAAAAAATGGTTTTTTGAAGAGTATCAGTCCTGTGAACACAACACAATTTAAACTTTATCTACACTGAAGCATCAGCTCTTGTTAATTCTTCTCGGGTTTGGGAAGTAGCACATTGTATAATAACAGTGAAGTTGCAAGGTTTTAGATGAACTAATTTGAACAGAAGTCTATCTTCTGGCAGGTCAGCTGACTGAACTGGTTAATACTTGAATAAAAAGCTTTTTGCATAGACAAAACCCCAGCTAAAGTAAGCTTCACAGAAAGAGAAACCTCTGAGAGAGTATGAACAGAATCCTTCTCTTCTTTACTTTATTGACAAATATAATGCTAAATTTCAGCAAGAGGACTAATAAAGTAAAACCATGTGCACGTGGTGGAAGAAGTGGAATAGCACATGTGACGCTGAGGGGCTAATTTCCCTGCAGAACATTTGTCTGCTGAAAAAGCAGAGTGAATCTAGATTATCTTTCAGACTACAGCTTCAATTTGCAGTTACAGAAAAATTTCCTAGAAAGCGAATATGTATTATCTAACAATTGATGAAGAACGGTACACACTCAACCCCCAAAAAGCTGTCTTCAGAAAAGAATAATCATTTAAGGCTGAAACCAACTGTGCCTCAACTTTTAAACCTCTTTCTTCTGTTCCACAGCAGCTTGCCCCAAATGTATGTTCACATAAAAAAACTGGATTCTACAGTGCAACACAGTCTACTTATTGTAATGGAGTAACTTATGAAAGGTAATGTTGCAACTTAGAGTGGGTTATGGTGTCCTTTCCTGAAAAAAACTGTTGTTTTAAAAAAAAACAAACAGAAAAAACCCAAACCCTCCCTCCTTCCCACCAGAAATACTATACAAGAAAACTGCAAACAAAATATTAATGATGCCCAAATTTGGCCCAGAGTTGTTTTACCAGATTTCAAAGGCACGACATGAACAATCTTTGGAAGATTTTTTTGCTTACCTATAATTTACCAAAGGACAATTCTGGACCAAAAAGATGGTATAATGGTAGGAAAGAAAGCACAAAAGGGAGAGAGGCACAGATTGAGAGAGAGAGAGAAGCAGGATGGACGTGGCAAGGCAGAAGATGGTGTGTGCAAAAGGAGACATGGGCCTATGTGTATAAGACTACTGTTTAAAATGGAAGAGGCTCTCTTATTTCTCACTGAAAACCATATGAAAAGAGAAAATGAGGAATGGGCCTGCTGCAAAATAACCAAGCGATTCAGCAAACTCTGGAATGAAACTCAGTGAGATAACATAGTCCTAAAGAAAAAGGCAAAAAAAAACCAAAAATACAAAACACAAACATTTGAAACAATCTACTAAAACAAACTAAGTAAAATATGTGATCCAAAGGACACAGATAAAAGCTACTAGAGAAGGAGGAAAAATGTTAGCAGACAAAGACGGTGCTAAAGAAGTAAAATGGAAGTCAAGAGAGAGTCTTCAACAAAGTGGAGGAACAGAAGGAGCCCAAACCCATAGCGCAAAGCAATGTTTGCGAATGGAAAACAGCTCCTTTGAGCAGTAATAGTTACTCTCGAGTTGTAGCCTCTATTCCTCCTCAGTTCATCTTTAAGCCCTTCCAACCTATAGTGGAGCTAGTGTATGGACAAAAACAAGAGATTTATAATGAACAGAGCAGCTGAGATTTGCAGATCAAATCTTCCAATATAAAAAACGCGCTGACAAAGTTTTGCTCTTACAGTGTCCAAATGACAATGGTAACAAAAGACAGCTGGCTTCACACGCAGCCTCTTACAGGTCATTTTTTTAATTCTGTGCACACAGAGGACTTTAAATTTACTTTTGATTTCTTACACCCAGCCTACAGTTTCCATGTTATCACTCACCTGATGGGCAACACATGCAGTATGAGAAATAATTTGCTTCCCACAAATTTTAAAAGCAGCTGTGGAAGAGGAATCCATGATAATAAAACAAAAGGCTTGATCAGCTAGACTTGATCGTTTCCCAACCTATGCTCACAGCTGCAGAATACAAACCATGTTTTAACATAACTGACATCAAAATTACTTATTACATAATACTTCCGATTGTTTAATAAGAATTGCACATTGATATCCTAAATGTTATTTTTAAATAAAACTGCAGTAAAATGCGATTTTGAATAAAACCCACCAGTTCTCTAACACATAAAGTTTTAGCAGCAATGGAGCTTTGTATAAATGGGGCCATGTGCTTTAAGTGCCTTTTATCATATGATTTGTATGTTTTACTACTTTGTTATTTGTGACATTTACGAAAAGTCTGCATTTTTTTCACAGCTACTGCTAAGTGAAGAATCCATATCACAGTGCATATAGTACCATGACTGACTGGGGTGACTGATCAGTAGTACTATTTACTATAATTCTTCTCATTCACAGGTAGTTACAGAAATAATAATCTATGCCTGTCTCTCCTTTCACAGGGAAAGTATAGAACTATTGTTTGTTCATTCCACAGCCTCTTGGCTCACAATGTACCTTGGCAGAAGATACAGTGGGCTACCAGCCAGTACCATTCCCCTGCATAGTTCAGGTAGAACGTAACCAAACCCAAAGCATTCAATTCACATTACTCTGCTTTTTGAGCAAACCGGATTTTATGTTCTTTATCATGCTGGAACACAGAAGTAAGCTTTCTACCATAAGCTGAAGTAGGAAATAGAATGTGAAATAAAGTACTCAAAAATGAATTCAGGGAATGGTAAAATAAAGAGTCCTGCTGACAATTTCTATCTATCAATCATGATTGGTCTGAAAAATTAAATCAATGACTGTACTAAATTGGATTTATTTAAGTCTACGTGATATGTTTTGCTGCAAATAAAAATCAGTCCACAAAAATTTTTTTACAAGAAAAATAGAAAAAGACACAAAGAAAAGTTCATGCTACAAGTGAAAAATTCATGTGAAAAATAAAGAAAAAAAGAAAATTGAAAAACCCTTTAACACTTTACCGTGACTATAGGAATGGTTAGAGAAATTACTTACCTTTTTAAAGTCATAACAAGATTAGCACAGAGTATTAAGTCAGCTCTTCATTATGGGAGGTACAATTAAAAGCCATTGGTTATAATAAAACAAATTGCTACATAAAGATGAAGAGTTTCCAGCCCAATATGAAAAGCTAACTCTTATGGGAATACATTTCAACTCAATTTTACAACATGAAGAACAATTCAGAACAATGACATCAAAACATGAGTTATCACCAACAGAAAGAGCCCATTTCTCAGGAACACAGACCCTGTAGGAGGCTAACCCATAACCTTTATAATTTATGGGAAAGCACATAGCTCCGTTTTTTAGGAAAGCATGCAGAATGTGGAACCACCAGCAGAAACCCAAACACACATACAGACACAGAGGACTAAGGTACAGCAAAGGGAATGAGTTCGCCAAGCTGTAATGAAGGAAGCAGGGTATGCAAAGAACAGCAGCCGATAACAATTTCAGAACTCTGTTCCTCCAACTGTCTCATAAACACCAGGGAGGCCTTTTTATGAGGTAGGGCACCTACTATAACCTCTTGTCCGTGAGAAAGTGCATAACTCATATAACCTCTCCTTGAAATTTCAGCAGTTTTATGAAGACAATTTATTCTGTGTGATGTGGGAAAGTATGCTGCTGCTGCTTTTTTCTACATGCGATTTAGAAGTAATTTCACAATCTGAGTTCTGTACAATATACTCTGTGCACATGCCATTTGAATGGTCTCGAATACTTGCCTGCTTTAAATAGATTTCAAATCACATATGATCTGCAAGGGTTTCCACAGTGTCTCTTGCCT